CGGTTGAGAGGCGGGACCAAAGAGCCAAAGCTCAACCCCCGCAAGTACAACTAGGTGAGTACAACCAAACTTGATTGGCAGTTGAGAGGCGGGACCAAAGAGCCAAACCTCAACCCCAGCAAGTACAATTAGGCGAGTACAACTGAGTACACACACACACACACACACACACACACACACACACACACACACACACACACACACACACACACACACACACACAAACTTGATTGGCAGTTGAGAGGCGGGACCAAAGAGCCAAACCTCAACCCCAGCAAGTACAATTAGGCGAGTACACACACGCGCCACAAAGACAGGAGAATTAAATAGACGTGCAGAAAAGGGCGCGAAATTGTATTAGAGAGTACTTAAGTATTAGTACTTAAGTATTATCAGGATTAGAGAGTATTATTTGAGATTATAGGAAACATATGGTTACAATAAGAGGAATAGCCCTGAGAATAGAGAGCGGTAATTAGTACCACAACGGACAGTTCTACGACGTTCTAGTCCTGATATACGTGAAAGAGCGTTGCATCTAATTTAAGTAAAAAGTTCCAAAAGTAGACAGGAAAAGTAGACGGCAGTCACTGTCATTAGACAGCTGATCGCTGGCTGGTAAAGCCGACGGGTTTAAAAAATCGGGACCCAAAAACTCGAGCTCAACCCTGGTAAACACAGTTAAGTGAGTCCTCGTATAAGTGAGTTTACCTTCCGTAAAGTGACTCGCTAGTGCCAAAGTTAGATTTATAAGTCATTCATGCACTTTCATGTTTAGTGAATCAGTCATTCATGCACTTTCATGTTTAGTGAATCAGTCATTCATGCACTTTCATGTTTAGTGAATCAGTCATTCATGCACTTTCATGTTTAGTGAATCAGTCATTCATGCACTTTCATGTCTAGTGAATCAGTCATTCATGCACTTTCATGTTTAGTGAATCAGTCATTCATGCACTTTCATGTTTAGTGAATCAGTCATTCATGCACTTTCATGTTTAGTGAATCAGTCATTCATGCACTTTCATGTTTAGTGAATCAGTCATTCATGCACTTTCATGTTTAGTGAATCAGTCATTCATGCACTTTCATGTCTAGTGAATCAGTCATTCATGCACTTTCATGTCTAGTGAATCAGTCATTCATGCACTTTCATGTCTAGTGAATCAGTCATTCATGCACTTTCATGTTTAGTGAATCAGTCATTCATGCACTTTCATGTTTAGTGAATCAGTCATTCATGCACTTTCATGTTTAGTGAATCAGTCATTCATGCACTTTCATGTTTAGTGAATCAGTCATTCATGCACTTTCATGTTTAGTGAATCAGTCATTCATGCACTTTCATGTTTAGTGAATCAGTCATTCATGCAATCAACTTGTTGTACTTTAGGGAGGGTTGAGATTCAGCTGTGTGTGTGTGTGTGTGTGTGTGTGTGTGTGTGTGTGTGTGTGTGTGTGTGTGTGTGTGTGTGTGTGTGTGTGTGTGTGTGTGTGAGACTGTGTGTGTGTTTGTATTTACTATTTGTGTCTGCAGAATCGAGCTATTAGCTCTTGGACCCCGCCTTTGTAACCAATCTATTTTTTCCACTATTATGTCCACTACATATATTTCTCTCTAACACACACACACACACACACACGCCCAGGAAGCAGACCAAAGCAGCTGTCTAACTCCCAGGTACCTATTTACTGCTAAGTGAACAGCCGCAACAGGATGAAAGAAACTCTGCCCATTTGTTCCCGCCTAGGCCGGGAATCGAACCCTGGCCCTTAGGACTACGACCCCGAAGCACTGGGTCCCCGAACTGTATGTGTATGTGAACAAAACTAGCTCAACATTCATGTCAATAACATCTTTAAGTGGACCCCCCAAAAAATATCTTATGAGCTCTGGCATTGAGTGCCATCTGTCTCTGAGAGTGCCTATGCAATATGCACTCGTGTCTTTCTCTTCCAAACAAAGCTGTGAGTTCAAGTGGTCAGATCAATTTGCTTTAGGCAGAGTAAAAGACATGTTTCCTAATGGCACGTCCGCGAACAAGAAGATTTGTTGGGGAGCTTTGCCTTTCTCTCTGTGCAAACATCCCCCACTCTGATTGTCTCCCAGTTGTTCTATGTGACTGCCTCCCTTGACAACACTAACACAGTGCTATCCCACTCCCAGGTGTGTGTGTGTGTGTGTGTACTAACCTATTTGTGCTTGCGGGGGGTTGAGCTCTGGCTCTTTGGTATCGCCTCTCAACTGTCAATCAACTGGTGTACAGATTCCTGAGCCTACTGGGCTCTATCATATCTACATTTGAAACTGTGTATGGAGTCAGCCTCCACCACATCACTCCCTTAAGCATTCCATTTGTCAACCACTCTGACACTAAAAAAGTTCTTTCTAATATCTCTGTGGCTCATTTGGGCACTCAGTTTCCACCTGTGTCCCCTTGTGCGTGTGCCCCTTGTGTTAAACAGCCTGTCTTTATCTACCCTGTCAATTCCCTTGAGAATCTTGAATGTAGTAATCATGTCCCTCCTAACTCTTCTGTCTTCCAGCGACGCCTTACATCTCCCAAATGATACCTTGTATCTGGCCTCCTTCTCCCTACACCTGTCTTCATTACATTACATTTGCTCGGGTTAAACTTTAACAACCATTTGTTCGACCATTCCTTTACTTTGTCCAGGTCTTCTTGAAGCCTCAAGCTGTCCTCCTCTGTCTTAATCCTTCTCATAATTTTGGCATCGTCAGCAAACATTCAGAGGAATAAGTCTATACCCTCTGGGAGATCATTAACGTTTATCAGAAACAGGATAGGTCCAATCACAGAGCCCTGTGGGACTCCACTGGTGACTTCACGCCAATCTGAGGTCTCACCACTACCACTGTGGCTTCTCTAGCAGTCTCTCTACACATGACATCCTTGATATATATATATATATATATATATATATATATATATATATATATATATATATATATATTATAATATATATATGTATATATATACATATATATAATATATATATATACATATATATATATATATATATATATATATATATATATATATATGTATATATATACATATATATAATATATATATATATATATATATATATATATATATATATATATGTCGTACCTAATAGCCAGAACGCACTTCTCAGCCAACTATTCAAGGCCCGATTTGCCTAATAAGCCAAGTTTTCATGAATTAATGTTTTTTCGTCTACCTAACCTACCTAACCTAACCTAACCTAGCTTTTTTTGGCAACCTAACCTAACCTTACCTATAAATATAGGTTAGGTTAGGTTAGGTAGGGTTGGTTAGGTTCGGTCATATATCTACGTTAATTTTAACTCCAATAAAAAAAAATTGACCTCATACATAGAGAAAAGGGTTGCTTTATCATTTCATAAGAAAAAAATTATAGTAAATATATTAATTCAGGAAAACTTGGCTTATTAGGCAAATCGGGCCTTGAATAGTAGGCTGAGAAGTGAGTTCTGGCTACTAGGTACGACATATATATATATATATATATATATATATATATATATATATATATATATATATATATATATATATATATATATATATATATATATATATATATATATAGATCTCCCCTTCCTCATGTCGGCGGGCTTCTGATATATTTGTCTTCAAAAATTTAAAATCCGTCTTAAGATATCAAAATTAAATTAGCAATGAATATTCATGACTTCTTCTGTAGTGTTTACGGGACGGCCAGGCGGCAGTGTCCTCGTGCTGACGTCACTGTTGCTCTCCTGCTGATGTCACTGTTGCTCTCGTGCTGATGTCACTGTTTCTCTCGTGCTGACGTCACTGTTGCTCTCGTGCTGACGTCACTGCTTCTCTGGACTAGTTGGCTGTGAAATGTTACAGTTGAGACCAGACAGAGGCTGTGAGTCTGAGAGATTAAGGTGTCTATGCAACACCTCACTTGTCATCACTCGCAGCTGCTGGGAGAAGTTATTACGCAGTCACACGCCTGAGGGGAGACACCTGTGAGACATCTGGTACACTAGTTACCTTCCGTAGGACCTTTAGCTACACCTGCGGCGTCTTCTGCAGGTGTCAAGAGTTGGCGGCAATTTGGCGTGGTTGGTAGACCTGATTTTTGTATGAATTCGGGTCATGGTCCCTTTGGCAGGTTATACACATGCTCCCTCAAGCAGGTTATATCAGTCGGCAGAACACTTGTCTCACATGTTTGTAACTACCGGATTGCTGTTCTAACAAGCAACAGGTCACCAGTCTAGTCACTACACAATCGGGGACCTAATTGAAGAGAGAGAGAGAGAGAGAGAGAGAGAGAGAGAGAGAGAGAGAGAGAGAGAGAGAGAGAGAGAGAGAGAGAGAGCATTATATTTTTCAATGTTCTTTGAGATTATAACTGAGTTTATCCTGTCGTCTCCGAGTGCGCTGACTGCAGACTTGCAGTTTATCAAATCATTTGTCACTAATACCTACAGTTAGGTATTTCACATTTTAGATTTTTTCTCGTGCTGAGAAATAAGGATTTTTGAATAAGTGTTGCGGCAAGAGGGAAAGAAATTAATTTTGTATTAATGTGCAAAAATTTATATACTATTAATTTAAAGTGATGGGTAATAGTTTATAATCACAAATTTAGAAATTTATCAGCTCTCATACGCGCTACTCTATATACACAAAATGACACAGAACATATTGCTGTATTGATGTTCTATAATATTCGTTACCTGGAAAAAAAAATTCTAAATAGCACGGGCTATAGAGAGCCCGTGGTAGACTTATTTCTTTAACTATAATGCTATACACACCGTATATAAATACACAATGTATTCCATATATCCCAAACATAACAATCTGTATACAACCAAATATGTTCTAATTAGAGACTATTATTTCCACAGCAAGTCACATTTGGTCATTTATATTACAAAATAAATTACAAACTCGCTTGCCTTCTAATACACGTTTTTTCCTGTATTTCAGGTTAGCCCCATACGTTGTACAAGAGAAGCAGTCAACATAGTGAAGACCGCTTATACACCCACCTGTATGACTGCTCAACAATCTAACACAGAAAACGTGATCAAACGCCCTTCAAAACTGGCAAACTTTATTATAAATGTATTGTAATTTATTTTGTTTTCATAATAGTGAAGAGAGCATTCCGGGAGCCGGTGTTGCCAGGGGCAACGCGCGCCGGCCTCTGACCAACGTCCACTTGCAAATACTGCACGATGGAGCCTAATGATATTTCGAAATGTTTCGCTGCACTCTGTGAGCCTTACCCAAGTTGTGAACAAATTCTAGTGGTGTTGATCGAATCAATTTGAGCATTACAGCGATACGTATTGGATACGACAGATCTTGATTTGACTTCAAACAAAATATAACTTGGAAATTATTTAAGAAAACATTAAACTCCTTAAATGATGATTTTGTGTCAACACATTAATATTTGATAAATTATCTGAAGACATAAACACGTGTAGAAAGGAAATATATAATAGTTTACTATCTAAAAGCTAAGTACGTACGAATTTGTGACTATTCACGACCATCAATAGATACTGTCTAAAGAGGAAGATGGGTTGTAATTTATATAAATATATATATAATAATAATATATATATAATAGCAAATGAGCACGAGTGAGAGACAACGCCCCGTTCACACCTATTTTAACGCCCCGTTCACACCAGTTTTAACGCCCCGTTCACACCTGTTTAATGGCTGCCGTCAACAATGAACACTTGTACACAAAACTGTCAAGACTGTCATAAACACTGAACTACTCTTGTATGTACAAACTGTCAAATAAACGAATGTACACACACACAGACTGTTACGAACACATGTATACACAGGCTATCATGAACACGTGTATACACACAGACCATCAGTGGTTACATAATACAACATATTCTATGTATACAATAGGGACGATAATCACGCGAGCTGAAGGGAATCACAGATAATACATACGTGGAAAGACATGAATACAAACATGTATACAACTGAAGACATGAATACAAACATGTATACAACTGAACACATGAATACAAACATGTATACAACTGAAGACATGAATACAAACATGTATACAACTGAACACATGCATACAAACATGTATACAACTGAAGACATGAATACAAACATGTATACAACTGAACACATGCATACAAACATGTATACAACTGAACACATGCATACAAACACATATACAAGTGCGATAAAAGACAAAACAGTCTGCCCTTTTATATAGAAAAAAACAGGAAGCAATATTTGCTACGTTTGAAAATAAAGCAAATTGGAGCAAACAAAATAGCTTTATTTGCACTTAAAACAGGAAAAACAATAAACAATACTAATCCACGCGTAAACAGGAGCACTGATTAGCGGCAAATAAAGACAATAGCAACGGAGTGAGAAAATATATATATAGATGATAATAAAACAAAGCCAGGACTAATAAATCAATGTAAGGGGAAGTAAAGAAAAAACACAAAAATAGTTAATTCAAAAAAAAAACATTGCAACGTAAAGATATCAATAGAGTGACTATAGCCAGAAGCCCAAAACAATAAATGAGGGAAGATGAAATCTAACATAAGATAACGAGGTGAATTAATAAAGTAAAAGAGAAAAGGTAAAGCATAATACATCAAGAAACCAATAACGAAGGATAGGAAATATACCAGCCGTGAAGGGTCGCCAAAAACAAGACGATAGAAAAAGAGAGAGAGAGAAATCCTTGTGAGAGAGAGAGAGAGAGAGGGAGATGAGGATGCCAGATACAAGATCAGTGGTGATGCTGGTGGCAGGAGTGCTCTCTCTCCTCCCTCTCTCTGTCTCCGACCAAGATGGAGGTAAGTGCCGGCTGGCCCCTGGATAGCAAGGGACGGGCAGGGAGGGACAGGACAGGAGGGTACAGGACAATTAAGGGGTTACAAGACAGGAATTAACAACCAGGGAGAAACAGGACAAGGGAATACAGGACAGAAATGTACAGGACAGGGAGGGGCCAGGTCCACAAGGTACAGGACAGGTCCACAAGGTACAGGACAGGTCCACAAGGTACAGGACAGGTCCACAAGGTACAGGACAGGTCCACAAGGTACAGGACAAGTCCACAAGGTACAGGACAGGTCCACAAGGTACAGGACAGGTCCACAAGGTACAGGACAGGTCCACAAGGTACAGGACAAGTCCACAAGGTACAGGACAGGTCCACAAGGTACAGGACAGGTCCACAAGGTACAGGACAAGTCCACAAGGTACAGGACAGGTCCACAAGGTACAGGACAGGTCCACAAGGTACAGGACAGGTCCACAAGGTACAGGACAGAACAGGGAGGTACATGACAGAATAGAGGATAAAGGACAGGGGGAGGTGGTACAGGACAGGAGTGTACAGGGGAAGGGAAAGAGGGACGGCAAAAGAGTCGACCACGACATACAGACAGAGATAGACAGACATAACTACCCCTCAAACAAGCTAGACAGACAGGAAACGCAATCTCATACATTATTAGACAGTCTGCAGGGCATTCAACAATTCAACATTTACTCTACAATCTTTACATTCACTTTGCAACAAAGAAACAATTTTCTTCGTGATTCTTTGATATTCCTAAGCTTGACGGATTTTAATTTGCAACAATGCTCTCAGGTGTTGACCTTTTTACAAACAATTGGTAACAACTTGCTATCATTGCAATGCAATATATATCTAACTGTCTGTGATTACCGTCAATAATTCTATCTTCCTGTTATGTAAGAACAGTGTCAGAGGCTATTACTCCCCTTTTCTTTGACCTATTTATATAAATATTACTCTTTTTGTAAGGGGTAACTTACCTAAATGTCATAACTTTGTTCCGTATTGTGTGTGTCTTTCCCTGGTGACCCGGCCTGCTTTCCTGGCGACCTGGTCGGCCGCTTGGTGACCTGGCCTGCCCTCTGGTGACCCGGCCTGCCCTCTGGTGACCCGGCCTGCCCCCTGGTGACCCGGCCTGCCCCCTGGTGACCCGGCCTGCCCCCTGGTGACCCGGCCTGCCCCCTGGTGACCCGGCCTGCCCTCTGGTGACCTGGCCTGCCCTCTGGTGACCCGGCCTGCCCTCTGGTGACCTGGCCTGCCCCCTGGTGACCTGCTCGGCCGCTTGGTGACCCGGCCTGCCCTCTGGTGATCTGGCCTGCCCTCTGGTGACCCGGCCTGCCCCCTGGCGACGCCTGTGGCAGCCCGGTGGACCAACAACCATCCCAACCAGGTGGAGACGCCTGGAGCCCACAAGATATCGGGAGAGAGGTTCGTCACTACCAACAACAGCGTCGTCACGGCCCAGGTCGGCGCCTCCGTCATCCTTCACTGCAAGACCTCCAGTGCCACCGGCGGACTGGTCAGTGCCATCTTGCAGTGCTTTATGTTTCTTAAGAGAGAGAGTGTCTAGTGGGAGGGGAAGAGATGTAAACAGGGAGAGTCTCTTAGAGAATGTCTCACTAAGTAGAGCGTAAGTGTCTCCCCCAAGGAGAGTCTCTTCGAGACTGTCTCCCCGAAGAGGTAATCTCTCAGAGTGAGAGCTACTAAAGGAAGAGGAACTCCGTCATAGTTCTAAACTGTGTCAAGAGAGTTCTATTAAAAGAGCGTTTTTATGGCGCAAAAGGCACTTGGAGGGAAGAATGCCCCCTCGGTTCACACTTAAGTGTCCGTGCTATAAAAGATAAGTGCCTTATGATGGTCCTCTAAGTCGCACTTTCGGGAGCACAGCTTCTGAAGTGTTTAACGGCAAGTGTGGAAAGGAAGAAGGAGAAGTTGTTTTATTTAAATAAAATAACTGGAGGGTTATTAAGGTCTATCAACCTCTGAAGGGTTATTAAAGTCTATCAACCTCTGGAGGCTTATTTTAAGGTCTATCAACCTCTGAAGGGTTATTAAAGTCTATCAACCTCTAGAGGTTGAGGTTGTTATACGTTGATATTAGGGTGTATCAACCTCTGGAGGGTTATTAGGGTCTATCAACCTCTAAAGAATTATTAGAATCTATCAACCCCTGGAGGGTTATTAGGGCCTTAACCCTATCTTATTGCCCAATCAGCAAATATACTTTAGCCCTGAACATAGTCCAGAACAAAAGTAAACTCAGTATATATATACATATACACCACAAAGTATAAATACAGTAGCCTACACCCTCCGTTGTCAAAACTTTTAAAACTCGAATATTTGCGTCAAATAAAAACCAAATTTATAATTCATTTTAAAGATATTCGTAAAATTATATCAATATATTACAAAACAAAAATAACAAATGATAATTATATAATTTATCTGATCACACTGCTCTTTGTTAAGTACACAAATACATCACAGGAAGCCTATTTGTGTAATAATAAACATTTGACCTGAATTAGAAAACGGAATCGATAAATGTTGCTGGCAGAGTGTTGCCACTCCGAGCGCCGCAGCCGCTACCATATTTATTGCCGGTATATATGCCGCTATATCTAGCAAACCACGCTACATATTTTCCCGGGTATGTTTTTATTTGTTTTGGTTATACATTTATTTGTGTGACTTAGGCTGTTAGACTTATAAGGTATAACTTTAAGGCTAACTCAAGCATATATCTCCTTCATCACTTAAGTGGGGAAATTTCCCATATTTTTTTCCCCAAAATACTTCGTGTCTGCCATGACGAGTGAGCTGAGACATGTCGATTTCCTCTGGGAAATTCAACATGAGCCTCATGAACCTAAAGTCGATTTATTCTCTGTTGCAACTGCAGGCGCCGTCAGACTTATTGCATATTTGTGTTTTCCATGATGCAAATTGTTGGCATATTGCACAGCTGGTGAAGTTAAGCGAGTCTCCCCTTCTTGTTTTTGGCATTTTTTGCAAGGTCTTCCTCGACCACTTTTGTACCCATGTTGGCCTTTTGTGGCCACTTTTGTACCCATGTTGGCCTTTTGTGGCCACTTTTGTACCCATGTTGGCCTTTTGTGGCCACTTTTGTACCCATGTTGGCCTTTTGTGGCCACTTTTGTACCCATGTTGGCCTTTTGTGGCCACTTTTGTACCCATGTTGGCCTTTTGTGGCCACTTTTGTACCCATGTTGGCCTTTTGATGTGTGGGTTGTTGTCTTAAGATGTGTGGGTTGGTGTGTTAAGATGTGTGAGTTGGTGTGTTAAGATGTAACCCAGCTTCACACTATCACCACTAAGAACACACCAAGAACCTCCCCAAATTCAGACCACACACTAACAACAATTCTCCCTACAAATAGCAATTACTTACATATATATATATATTAAAATATAAAAGCATATCTTCACAACATATTTGCTGTTGATAATTAATTAGTTTATGCAAGCAGCAATAAACTAAGTCAATTATACATGCCCAATCACTTTAATTAAAATTTTGAATGTGTATAAATGCAAACACTTGTACATATATGAATAAAGTTTTTCAATTAGAATTTCAATCACTTAAGTCTGCCTTCCCGTCTAGACTTAATCTTCTGGGATTTTTTGTCCTCTGTAGAAATTGGAAATACTTTAATACATCAGGCACAGCTGTTCTTAAATGTTCGTTCAAGAACAATTCAATAATTCAATGTTCTCTGAAATTCAAATGGATATATATATATATATATATATATATATATATATATATATATATATATATATATATATATATATATATATATATATATATATATATATATATATATATATTTCAACTTTTATGTGTTCTATAAATACTGATGATCCAAGGAAGTAATTTGAATAAACTAATCAGAAATTTACGACTAATTGGGGGCATAAATCATTTGAATATTGGAAAGGTTAATGTTAGCTTATTAGGGGTTCAATGAATATTATTATTTTGACCTTTGACATCAGAGGCATTAATGGGTCCCCCCCCCTTCACCTGTGTCTTGTTCCCCGTCCATTTCTGCCCCTGTTTCACCTGTCCACTTCTGTCCTTGTCTTCCCCCCTGTTCCCGCCTCTATTGTTTTGTTTATTGCTGTTTCCTCTTTACCCTCAGATTTGTTCTTATCATCCTCTTTATCTCCTGTTGCTCCTGTTGACCGTGATTCTTCCTCTCCTGTTTACTGTCTTCCGCACTAATCTCTCCCTCCGTCATTATGCTACTATTCCGTCTGTTTATCACCCATTCATCTGCCTATCTACCTGTTCCTCTTCCCTCTTCCACCCCCCACCTCACTTCCCACTTCTCTCCCTGTTAACCTATCCATTTTCTCCCTTTTCCTCCCTACACTCCTTACAACTTCGCCAAAACCTCGTATAATCTTTTCCGACCCCCTTCCACCAGACTTCCCTCCCACCGCAGCCCTTCCCACCGTTCCACTGGCCCTCGTAAGAGCGGGTCTCACAGCTGTAACTCTCCTACAGGTGTCGTGGGTACGGAAGAGAGACTACCAGCTACTGACGGTGGGTCTCCACACCCATTCCAGCGACGATAGGTTCTCTATCAACTACGTCCATTGGGTACGTATAGGAGGAGAGAGAGAGAGAGAGAGAGAGAGAGAGAGAGAGAGAGAGAGAGAGAGAGAGAGAGAGAGAGAGAGAGAGAGAGAGAGAGAGAGAGAGAGAGAGAGAGAGAAGAAGAGGAGGTGAGAGACAGGGAGTGGATAAAAAGATGCCCATATGATCAATGTAAAGATATATATATGTAAATCAACCTATTCTTATAATTATGACGTAGCTTACGTAACATCATAACAATGGCAATTCCTGAAGTGTTGTTTTGCGTACACGTAAGTCGTCCTCAGCCAATTAGAATGCAGCACGGGTTGACCGCTGCAGTGTGATTGGCTGAACAAATGTAAACCCAAACAAGCATAAACTTGTCAGAATATATATTCCCACGCCCCGTGAAGGAGAAAAATGAGAGATGGAAGGATATGGAGATCATTCTATCCCTAACATTCAAGAAATTGCAAAATATTTTATATCTATAGATTCACAAATATATAAAGTTATAAAAACTAATTCCCCGCCTTCCACACACAAACAAGAAGCTTCATATAAGCTTAATTAAATATATTTATTATCCCCGCAAATGTTAACAACGCGTTCAATTAGGTTTTTACATTAATCTTCATATTTAATTTTGAATGCAAATTAGTTTTATAAAGTACTTTAGTTTATCACCAGGCATTTGAGGCGCTTAAGTTGCGCAAGTCTGCTTCATGGACTGGAATGAAATTACAAATTAGGTTTCACATAAGGATTGCGAGGCCTCTGGCTGAAATATGTGAGCTAATTAAATTTTAGAATTTGATGAGTGAAGTAAATGAAGAATAAAGTTAGAGAGAGAGACACACACATATAATAATGTAAAGTATATATATATATATATATATATATATATATATATATATATATATATATATATAACTTATATTATAACGGTCAGACAGTTTATATATATATATAATATATATATATATATATATATATATATATATATATATATATATATATATATATATATATATAATCAGTCAGACGCTTGGGGGATTGCCTCGCCCAACGTTCCGAGATGACACATAGGGAGTATGGGAGTGTCATAGAATAATGAGGGTCGGCCCCAGTACCACTTTTTAATAAATATTGGCATCTATAGCGACCCACCTCCGCTTTTCATGAAGTCTGAAATTGAAGACGTGTTCTCAGTGGTTGACAGTCTTTTCGTTGCTTGGTAATATTACATTTTTCTGAAAGAGGAGAGGGCAGTAAGGGGATGTTCGGGTAGAGGGGAAGAGGGGAAAAGAGTCCCGGGTTCAGCCGGGTAACCCCCCTCTGGTACTGTAGTAATAAGAAACAATTTCTCCTCAAATATATATTATTTTTATAAAGTGGTAGTTTATCCATTGCAGGATCTAGGTTAGGTTGAGTAAGGTGTTTTGAATACGTTGATTTTGGGAGTGTTAATGACACTAGAGGCTGTAAATGAACGAAGCAGGATTCGAGTCATAGCTTCGATCATGGTCGAAAGGGGGATCATGGCATAGGGGGAGCCGGTCGGCCGAGCGGACAGCACACTGGACTTGTGATCCTGTGGTCCTGGGTTCGATCCCAGGCGCCGGCGAGAAACATTGGGCAGAGTTTCTTTCACCCTATGCCCCTGTTACCTAGCAGTAAAATAGGTACCTGGGTGTTAGTCAGCTGTCACGGGCTGCTTCCTGGGGGTGGAGGCCTGGTCGAGGAACGGGCCGCGGGGTCACTAACAGCCCCGAAATCATCTCAAGATAACCTCAAGATAAGAAGATATGGTCAAGTGGGTTATAACTCAAATACGAACTCACGCAAGATTCAACACGTCAGTATTTGACTTAGTCGTTGTGAACACGACTGTTGTAGCGGACATGAAGGAAGGTGAACTCTTCCCCTATAGATGACGAGTCACAATAACGTGGCTGAAGATATCTTGACCAAACCACACGTCAGAAAGTGAAGAAACGGCGTCGTTTTGGTCCGTCCTGGACCGTTATCAACCACTGGAGGCTTGATATTGGACCAGGACGGACCAAAAAACATTGTCGTTGCTTCACTTTCTGATATATGACTTGACACAATCGACTTGAGAATGGTCCAGGACGGACCGAAACGTCGTCGTCCCTTCACCTTCTAGTATGTGGTCTGGTCAACATACTTCAGCCACGTTATTGTGACTCATCGCCTACTTCTGACATATAGTTTAGTCATCACATTCCTTCCCCCCATAAATATCTTGACCCATGGTGATCCACAACCCCCCCTCCCCCACTTCCCCTCAATACAACGAACAAGGGGTTAACCATGCATCATATTTCCCTCAATATAACAAACAAGGGGTTAACCATGCACCATATTCCCCTCAATATAACAAACAAGGGGTTAACCATGCACCATATTTCCCTCATTATAACGAACAAGGGGTTAACCATGCACCATATTCCCCTCAATATAACGAACAAGGGGTTAACCATACACCATATTCCCCTCAATATAACGAACAAGGGGTTAACCATGCACCATATTTCCCTCAATATAACGAACAAGGGGTTAACCATGCACCATATTCCCCTCAATATAACGAACAAGGGGTTAACCATGCACCATATTCCCCTCAATATAACAAACAAGGGGTTAACCATGCACCATATTCCCCTCAATATAACGAGCCAGGGAGGAGAACTATGCACCAGCGGCCTGCTCTTGCTTCCGGCAAGTACAGGCATCGTTAATGGCGCCCACATCTTTAACCCCCCCAAAAAAACAGAACGTGGAGGCTGCCTGTTTCACTCTCATAGACCTTAACTCGATATGAGGTGTAAACAAGCGTGCAATAGCCTTATTGTTTGCTGTTCCTTGGCGCCCCTTAAACAAGGGCTTCTAGCACGTAAACAGTGTCTGACAAGTTAAATTCATAGCCTAAAGAGAATATAGATACTGCTGTTTATATATGGAGATTGCTCTATAATAATAAAAAAAAATGAATTGAATTGCGATTGAAATCATTGCAACTTGCAGCTGTTTCATAGTTAATGTGTATAGTAGTTAGTAGTTGTTTATGCGGTTTTTATGGTCATTCAAGTTAATATACAGCCATCATGATCAGAATATGTGTTGTTTATGTTTAATACAACATATCATGTAGCCTAAACATTTCACATATATAATCATCACATTCGTATAGTCATTACACCATTCTGTCAACACATGGTGGTCACGTGACCCCGTGCTTGATCAACATGACTGTGGTAGACTCATCACACAACATCAGCATGACTCACGGCCTGAGTAAACACACTGGCAGGGGACTCACCATCATTCATCCACTCTCACTTTCAGGGGACTCACCATCATCCATCCCCTCTCACTGTCAGGGGACTCACCATCATTCACCCACTCTCACTTTCAGGGACTCACCATCATTCATCCACTCTCACTGTCACGGGACTCATCACCATCATCCATTCTCACTGGCAGAGACTCATCACCATTCATCTACTCTCGCTACAAGTTGAGTGAAAGAAAAAGTTCCCAAACATCTTCCCAGTCACTGAGTTCGTCTCCAAGTTGACTGTCAACTTTGCGAAAAGTCAACAACTTTACCCACTGCGACTTTTAA